GACCAATGGTGAAAAATCAGTTTTCTATGGTGTTTTAAAGACAGCAAAGCTACATGATGGTAGTGCTTCCAACATATCCAGGTGTGTGCATCTAGATAAAAGAAAATTATCCGGTTATAAAACTCATGATGCCCACTTCATGTTACATTACTTGTTGCCAATACCAGTTAAAAGCGTACTTCCTGATCATGTTGCTATCCCTTTGATTCGTCTAAGTTCTTACTTTTGCCGTTTATGTCAAAAAGTTATCACAATGGAAGAGCTAGATTGCTTGGAAGTAGAGATTAGAGAAACTACGAATCAATTGGAAAGAATTTTTCCTCCAACTTTTTTTCATATAATGATTCATTTGCCTATTCATTTGGCGAATGAGGTAAGGTTGGGAGGTCCATTTCAAAATCGATGGATGTATCCTCCTGAAAGATATATGTGTACATTAAAATCATATGTTCGCAACAGAAATTATCCAGAAGGATCTATTGCTGAGGCATATTTGGTTGAATAGTGTTTGACTTTATGCTCTAGGTACTTACATGGATGTGTAAAGACTCGATTTAATCGAAGACCCCGAAACAATGATGAATATGATTCAATTAATGCACAAGCTTCTAGTTTGTTCCCTAATACAGGTTGTCCTTTAGGAGAGAAAAAGAGTGATCCAATTATTTTAGATGACATGTCATTAAATCAGGCACATATATACTTATTGAAAAATTGTGATGAAGTTCAAGAATATATAAGGTAATTTAATCACTTATAGCATTTATTTATGTAGGTTGTTATTAAATTACTTTATTTATCATTTTACTAACAAATAAAATTACTTGTTGTGTAGAGAATATGAGGTTGAGGTTAGTAATTAAAGACGAGGATCTAAATGGAGCAAGGCCAAGAATCACAGTCAAAACTTTTCTCAATGGTTTGAAACTCGTTCTTTGAAAGAGGATGTGCCCGATCTTACTAAGCAATTGTCCATTGAGCCAAATTCAATTGCTAAAAGATATTCTGGATATCTCATTAATGGATATAGATTTCATACAAGGCAGCGTGATGCAAGACGTAAAACACAAAATAGTGGTGTTACATTAGTCGCCCTAACTACAAGTTTTGCACGCTCAAAAGAAAAAAATCTGGTTGACGCAAACATGACATATTATGATAAAATAGTTGATATAGTTGAGTTAGACTATTATGGTCATTTTAAGGTTGTCTTATTTAAGTGCGACTGGTATGAGGTTGAAGAAGATATTTATAGCTTTACTTATGTCTACTTCAACAAGAAATGTTATCAGAACGAGCCTTTTGTCCTAGCATCTCATGTACACCAATGTTTCTATGTGCAAGATCCATATGATCAAGATATATATTATGTCATGAAGACTGTGCCAAGAGACTTGTTTATTATAAGTGATGAACTTGAATCTAATGCCCCACACTGTTATGAAAATGAGCCATCTGAATATTTGGTTGGCCCATCTATACCGGAGGATAATGGTAAAGTTGTCTTAGTAAGGAGTGATGTTCCAGCAACCATTCTTGATGTACCTCCAGAAAGATTTCTAGCACAACAACTTGAATTTGAATCGGATGAAGAGTTTGATTTTGAAGATACATCATGAGTTTTATTCTAATTCAAATAGAAAATAGCTTAGCCATTTTTTTATTAATAGCTAGAAACACATTAAATATTGTTGCTTTAGATTTAAATTGATGTTGTCTATTTCCTCAAGTTCAATATTAAATATTTTCTTGCTGCTCGATTTCTTTGATGTGCACATATATTTTCTGCTCATGTATTTTCAATGTGTCCCTTTTAGTATCACTAGAAATTACTTGATTGGTTATTTAATGTGTCCCTTCTAAGGAACCATATTGTATTATATGTGGATCGAGAATTTGTCCTCTAGTTTTGAATAGAGAAGTGAACGTGAGTAAGTAGAAATTATGCTTCGGAATTTGTATTGTACTATTACCTGGAGTATTGGAGCAAGTTTTAAAGTATAAACATATTTATTTTTTATTATTATCAGGTGGTGCACATGCAACTAAAGAAGATATTGGACTAACAAATTTTAAGGAACCAAGAGATATTGAACATGTATCTTGTAACTTTGTTTATTTATATATGCTCTGGAATTGTTTATCTACATATCTTTATATAACCTGTGGAACCAAGAGAATTGTTGGGTAAGGGCTCTCAGTTGTCTTGTTAGAGTTCATTTCTTGTCAGATTTTGTTATCAGAGGAGGGTTATGAATGCCGATTTGAAAATATTATCTAGAAAACGTGATATACCTTGAGAACTTCATCTGTTAATCTGTTTTTTGACTTTGTGTTGGGATTTTGTGGTCATTTATCATGCGTTGCTTGTTTTATCTTTAGCTCCTTGAAGGGTTGTTACTTATTAGTTATTATTAAAGATTTGTATATTGTCTATCCTAATCCTGATGAAATTTCATTTTAATTGTAAGATAGAACTGGAAGAGGGACAAAAAGTATGGTAGCCCTAGAGTTACTTGTATGATTTAGGTATAGATGCCAATGTGTGGATGAACCAGCTTCCCCTTGTGTTCTGTATTCATATATGTTACATGGATCCTCTATCTTTGAGCCATCTTTGCTATGGGCGTAGACTTAATTTATTACATATACTTGCTCTCGACATGCTTTTAGAATAATAATCTATGAAACGATTTTCACTAGTCTTTAAAATATTGTCAAGCCTTTGGACATAAACTGTTGCAATCCTTAGTTAGGACAACTGAGTGGAACATGAAGATGTTTGTTTACGAGGTATTTAATTTGCTCCTTAGCAACACCAGCTGAAGCATTGGAGATTGAACATACAACCTTTTTTTAGTATCAAACTCCACATGTTGCAGCATTGGGATGTTTGAATTTGTCTAGTTGTGGTATCCCAATGATGCTAACTGAAAGTTTATAAGCCTATTATAACAAAGTTCAGCCATCTGTGTTATAGAGTAGGTCCTGGCAACTAAAAGCAACTCACATGGTCTACTCCACAACTTTGGATACAACTAATATCTGTCAACTTTAAGAATTGATAAATCAATTTCAGTACCCTATGCAAATTTAAGATTACCAAGAGGAAGAACATAAGCCAAAATTCTAAAAATTGCTTCCTATTCTTTCGGGCTAAGTCCAACAATTTCCATAACCTTCTGATATCAAGAGAATCATGAGTATCAATAACGCTAACTAGTTTATACCAATAAGATTGATTGAGATAGGGAAAAGATTCAGCATCCTCCTGGATCAATCATATTGGTCTCCAAATCTTTCAAAATTACTTCAGCACTTTGAGTTCCCACAGTACCTTGTTCCACAAATTGCTTATTGTTGGCATCCTCTACAGTTATGCTTAGGCCCTGCTCTTCAGAGTTCTTTTTTGCATTGGCCTTGCAGGAAGTATTTGTTGCCACTATGTTGCCAATAAAGGCTCTTTGTACCCATTGAGAAGTAGTTTCCTTATGGCCGAATACATATGGAGACACTTAAAGTTGGCACGATTTTTCATTTAGACACCTGAACTTAGGGGTATTTCTAATGAGCACGTGCATTACACAAACTTTGTTCCAATTAGATACTTTTTGCTGAGTTGGCACATAGAGTGAGTTTCACCCCATATAGGCGCGTGAAGAGCCCAAAAACAGATTTTTTTCTTCTTTTTTTGTCTTTTTTATTTCCTTCTTCTTCTTCTTCTTCTTCTTGTTTATGTCCACCACCATTTCCACCATTGCCTCCTCCACTTTCTCATCTTCTTCTTGTGATCATAATCCTTTCCTTAGCATCTGCTTCACACAACAAGAATATCGCCCCATTTATTTGGCTGTTGCAGCCTTAGAGTATTTCAACAAAAAAGGATAGGATATGGATTGGAGTATTTCAACACAATCCATTTGGCTGAAAATTTCATCGCCACCAACTGCTCCGCCACCCTCCTCTCTAACCCCATCGCCGAACCCTTCTTCTTCACCCCATTCATCTCCAAACGTCACTCATCTTCAGGAGCATCCCCCTAGTGATTAAAATTAAAATGAGTCTGAGTTCTTCATTTCAAATCGAAACATCATTAATGGGTTCTTAAAAAGCTTGAAGGTTTAAAATGGGTTACTTGATTTGATGAAAGATTATGAAATTAATGTTGGGGTTGCCTTCGGGTCGTCTCGGAGAATCTTCAGATCAAGTTATAACAAATTTGGAGGAGTTTCTCTTAAAAGTTTGGATTAAAATCTTGGTTGGAACAAGAACACACATGAAGATAGTGAAGAACACCAAGAACACACATTAAATAGATTTAACATAGTTTTTCCTTCTTTTTTTTAACTCAAAAAGATATATGTCCTCATTTTATTCGTCATTCGACACATCAGCAGCGAGTGTATTGCACACACTTTGTAAGTTTCAGTGATAGTCAAAAGAGTATCTAATTGGAACAAAGTTCGTATAATGCACGTGCTCATTAAGAATACCCCTAAGTTCATGTGTCTAAATGAAAAATCGTGCCAACTTTAAGTGTTTCCCTATGTATTCACTTTTCCTTATTTAATTGTTCATATGCCCTTATTTCCTTTGGTTCTATTTCCTTACTCACATGTTCTGCATTATTATCTATTGTAGGGTTAATCATTAGAGCCACATAATTGAGGTTGTTTCCTGTTCCTTCTATATTCCCATTGTTTTTCTTTTCATTGCCAGCCCCAGGAGACTTGAGATTATTAGCAGTAGGAGTAGCCTTATCAAGTTGAACCACTTCCTGTACTTCTGCTACAATTGCTAATTGCTTATCATGTACTGACTTTTGAGCCTCAACATTATTATCATTCAAGTGATTCTGTTTTTCAGCATTCTCCATAGCTTCTTCAACCTCTAACATTACAAATTTGTTTCCAACTTGTACCTGATGCCTCTCACATATTGTTATATATTCATACTAGTTGTTAGGCTAAAGTAATTTAATTTTTTTGTATGTAGGATGAATCAAGCGGCAACTTTTAAGAGAAAAGTTCCGAATCCAAACAAACTCAAAGTCCAATGAAGAATATAGGTTTCGATTTCCAATACCGATCAAGTGCCGAACTAGCCAAAAAATTTCAGATTAAGAGAGAAAAGCTTACAAGTGATTGCAACGATAAAGCTGCTAAAGAGCAGGCATTACTTGGAGTTAAAAGGAAGAATTATATGCCTGCAACATTAGAAGGACAAAGTAGATAGAGGTTAACTCAATCGGATGTGTCAGTTCAAAAGTTAGGAAGGAATAGATTACCGGTGTACAAATCAATCCAATCGTCTTCAAGGGAAGATCTGAACACTTCACATAATATTGCAAGTAAAGGACAAATTAAACAAAGGTCAATGCAATTGGAGGAGCCCATTCAAAAGCAAGGAATGAGTAAATTACCTTGTGCCCACATCCATGATCCAATCATCTGCAAAGGTAGATCCTAACACTTTACATGTGATTAGAAGAACACAAGGTGAAGGAGAGAAACAATTTAATATTCAAGAGCTACAAAATTGCAAAAAGGTAAAGACAAACTCAGTCCTACCGTCAACGAGTGTTAATAAGTTTCTAAAAAAATATGGGATACAAGTCGCTGGTGAAAAACATCCTGATAATCACCCAGAAAATGAAGTCAGATTTATGTCCTCTCCTATTATTGATGAGCATGAAATAGAATTGGATAATTTTGCTGCACAAGATGAAGTTGGTGACGATGAATTTATTGGAGATGAGGATATGAACATCGATAGTGCTGCAGGTGGTATGTCTTAAACCTTATAATTATTTTACATATTTTGATTTTTTCTTCTTATGTCTTGCTTGTTCTATCAATCTAGGGACATCAGAGAAGAAAAGAGTTAGAGGAAAAACAACATGCAAGAATATTCGTGCAAGAAGTTTTGAAGAAATAGAGGAGGTGACATTTGGTAAAGTGTTGGACCAACTGACAAGAGAGTGTCTGATTTGACCAACTTTTTAGGAACAATTGCAAGGAATCCAAGATTTATCCCCTTGGTGCATACTAGTTGGCATGTTGTGTCAAAGGATATTAAGCAACGAATGTGGGAATATGTCAATGTAAGAATAATAAATTTTTCAATTATATATTTTTTGTATTTTTCCTTCTAAGAAAAGATATATCTCTCTCTCTGTGTGTGTGTGTGTTGTTTTGCATAGTCCAAGTTCTTAATTCCAGTTGAAGGAGAGAAGTGGGTAATGACTGATCTTCGTGATGCTTGGAAGCGACACAAGAGGAATATTAAGAAGAAATATTTTGATAAAAATGTTACTATTGAACAAATGCTACAAAATCGTCCCAAATGAGATACTTGAAGTTCAGTTCCGTCAATTGATTGAGTATTGGGATGACGAAGATGTCGAAGTAAGATTAAACCGTGCATTTCTACATTTTCTACTTATTGTTGCAGTACATATTTTCCCCTTTTTGATTTATTAATTAATATGCTTCCTTTGTTGTTATTCTATGTGGCAATTGAATTCTGAAAACAGGAAAAAATAAAAGTGGAGGCATCGAATGGGACCTATTAATTTTGCAAGAGTGCGTGTGGCATTGGTAATATTTAGTCGACACTTTGTAATCTTACTTTTATTTATTTTTGTACTTTGTCGGAAAAAAGTGATATCTTTTTTATATCTTTTTTGATGTAATTTGTAGCGCGCAACCAAAGAGAACAACGAGGAACCATCAAAGTCTGAAATGTTTATTACAACTCGTACAAAGAAAGGGAAGGAAGTTCATACAGATACTCAAGTTGCAATAGTAAGTCTGCAATTTAAGTCTTATTATTGTATTTTTTCTCTTTAATGAATGTGTTTCTTTAACTGAAGGAAGTCCATACGCATATCTGTAGTTTCTTTTGGAAAATATTGACCTTTAGCTTATTGTTCATGAATAGACCAATGTAAATTTATTTTTAAATTGTTCATTATCCGACCCATTTTTTAATTGATAATATGAGTGGATAACTGTTTTCTTATAACTATTTTGCCTGAGATAGATTTGACCAAAAGAAATGCTTACAGGAAGTGAAATTACTTTGTTCGTTCAATAGAATTATTAGTCGGTGCTTAAGAGCTGACTATTAGTTATTTTACGTTATAATGTGTATGAATCAATTTTTCGCAACTGCCAAAAATTTGAAAATTAGTTGAAAGCATCTGCACTGCAAAGGTTCCAAAGAAAAGTAAATAAAGGTGAACTTAATTCCAATTTTCAGCTCTCTGATTGTTTCAGCAATTTCATTGATCAACCAAATAATCAAGCGTGCTAAAAGTCTAATGAACTAACAAACATTCTGTAAATTACATCCAGTGTTCATATCATCCATGCACTGCTAAGAGGTAGTATTATTCGTGTGGCAAATGAGACACCTCTTTGGAATATAAAAAGTTGCATAAATTAGTTATAGTTGAATTACCATAGACGAACAATATTGAGAATGAGAAATATTTGTTGCTGCATCTTACCATCTTTTACTGTTGGTGAATTAATTCCAGTACACATTTCATGTGCAAGTGCACCAGAAAAAATTGTAGTGATAATATCCTTTGATTGATTTAATGGACTACCAGCATTCTTCTTTTGATTTTGCCCACTGCCTGGAGAGTTCCCTTGCTTATTTCATGAGCTTGCACTTATGTCCTTAAGCTGCAAACTCCCCACAGCATGATCATGCTCTATATTCAAAACATCAAAGGTGTTTGAGCAGTTGATTTTCCTTGAATCCTCACATAGTGCACCTGTAAAGATTTCTGCGATAATCTGATTTCATGGTCTGGATTTTTCTTTTTGTTAAGTGATGGATGAGATCGAGTTACCTCTGTCCACTCTCGATCATTTAATTGATTCACAGGTTGAGAACCTGATTCTAACAGATGCGTGGCCTCATTCTCATGCACAGCAGATTTGTGCACATCAGTAGCAGCTGCAACTCCAAAACTTGACGCAACTGTAGCACCTTTTGTAGCACTAGGAATATTAGCTGGATTTTCACCCTTAGTTTTCTCAACTAGCTGCACCTCAAGACTCCTCTGCTCCCTGCTACATCATTTTCACGACCTGATGCAACAGTAGGAACAACTCCCCTTGTACCATCATCAGCTTGGCCTGCAACATTATGTGTAATCCCAGAAGACTTAGGATTAACATGCACAAATCAGTTCTGTTTGTTTGAAACTTCATATTAAATTGGTTACGATCCTTGTCGCTGAAAACTCTATTGACATTCTTGGCTAAATTTTGAGGTCTGCTAAACTTTTTCTTAATCTAACTTGACTTGTTGAAAGTTATTTTAGTGTTCGTTCTATCTTGACTTGTAAGTGATGTG